ATATATATATATATATATATATATATATATATATATAATACTAGTATTTAAACTGAAATTAATTTTAAAAAAATAAAAAATCAAATATTTTAAAATATTTTTAATATTTTTTTGGTAATTCGGTTATTTATCGAACCAAACGCTAAACGGTATGAAAGTCTTGCGTATCCCAATTTCTATAAAATTCTACAAAATGAACGTCCCTAAATATATCAACTAGATGATTTTTTTTTATAAGATAATACATAGTTAAGGTGTACTTGTAATTATACAAACAAGAGGAATTTTTCGTAATTTAAAGTTGTTCGTAATTTTCCAAATAATAAAAATAAATAAATAAATAAGCCATTGCGTATCCCAATTTCTATAAAATTCTACGAGAACGTCCCTAGATTTATTAACTAGAGGAATTTTTTTATAAGATAATACATAGTTAAGATGTGTTGTGAATATTTTATAAAATACAATTTTATATTAAACAATTAAGAACATGCAATATATAAAAATAAAATAATCATATATGAATAGAAAATAGATTAAAGTAAAAGTAATAGAACGGCTGGCCTGAATAGGAGTCGTGCCACTAGACACTGTCCTAAGAGAATGATTGCCTCCCTTCGTGCAGGTATTGACAGCTGATCATACTCCCAAGATAAAACCCAATGGCCTCGCCGGTGCTTCGTCTATGAGCAACGATCATAGGAAACTAAAGAATGAACCTTATCTAAGTGCCCAAGGTTTATAGGAAAATATATAGAAGATGATGCATGCTTTGTGTAAGTGTGTATGTGTAGTGTTCTATGCTATGATGTATTCTAGCAAGTAAGCTAATGACCCTATTTATAGGGTGGTTGTGACCTTAAGGGTCAAAGAGAGTTTAATGGTGCATAATGGCCATTGAAGGGGACGTTACAAAATATAATTAAAATAATAAAAGCAATTTTAAGTTTTAAAACTTCTCAAATTTCCAACAATCCCCCACAAGGTTTAAAACTTAAAATGTATGCATGTATACTTATATATAAAATAGGGCACTAATATTGTGCAATGGGTGTAGGAGCCTTCCGAGCTTGAGCCTACACTTAGTGTTGATGATTTCCATTTGAGGGAACGGTAATGGCGCAAGCGCTTTGAATTACGTCCCTTCACCAAACTTCAATGCATCACACACACAATATCGATATCGGTTCAGTTCAAGCGGGTTAGCGCGTTATCGGCCATGCGCTTTTATCTTGATTCTCGTGAAAGTTTCTAGGGTTAGCCCAAACCCATAGCCACGGCCTCATGGCAACTTTTCACTTAGGTGAAACCTCCAAGGGTATGTATGACCTCCACCCTACGGTATCCCGCTTTGGTTTCATTAAGGGTTAAACCCATCCTTATCGTCACACTATAAAGCACTATATCACCATAGGGATGGGAAGGAGGTGCTCTCCTCATAATTTTAATTTAGTGCTTAACGAGTCACGCATTTACGGGTTGTTTCTACCACATTGAACCTTCTTCATGGGGTCTCCAATCACAAAGGTTGGGTTACTCCCGGAGGTGACTCCCTTACGGGCTTATGCCCATCCCCCTCGATGAAATTTTTACATCCTTATAGGATGAATCTTTAATAGATCAATGATCATTTCTTTCGAAATTTTAATTTGATCAATGATTTATACACACCCTTAGAGGGCAGATCTTTAACAAGTGTTTCAAACTTTACTGTTGAGAGAATATCATATTTCTCTTCAACTGATACTCAATACTTTGAGATTTTCCTGCAGGTGTCAAACTCAATTTCTTGTACGAAGATCAATGATCAAATATTTTAATTTTCTCATACATGATATTATATGATCAAGTTTTTATTTTGATAAATACCCCCACATTTCAAGAGAATTTATGCATGAAATAATTATTGCAACAACAATAACATAGAGCTTTTAGTTTCGAGTAATTGAAAATAGCTATTTAAGCAAAAATCACAAAGGATAGTGGGAGTTTTAGATTTCAAATGAAAATATAGACTTTTCGAATATCTTCCTTTTTAAATCACGTTATTTTAAATAAGGAGAAATATTCACTTAAATTAAAACAATAGATTAACTTTCAAAGTCACCATTTAATGCCATGCATCGGCATACTTAAGGATAATTAACCTTTGATTTAATTTACTACGAAAACATATCTCTATCAAATTTTGATTTTCACCAAAATAAACTGCACACTTAATTCAAACTCAGTATTTCACTTTTGATAACATAAACATATTATGAGAATCATTTTCAATCTAAACAATGTGAAAATAATTGAGCCATTATCATAGAATGGTTTTCATGCAGAGGCATTCTAGAATTCAAACAAATCAAATAGCACGGACATAGTCTCATGGAATATCAAAATTTCACATACTTAAATTCATGCATGCAATAATATCTTGAATTCATGAAGTGTTAAATCCATTTGAAAGTTCACCAAACATAACTTTAAACTTTATTTTATTTATAAACAATAACTATATGTAGACAATTATCCAAAATTGGATTTATAAGTGGAGACAGAATAATTTAAAGAAGAGAGTCAAAATTCACACCATTTTATTTTTATGTAAAATAAATGCCATGCATAGTCATAAACTAAAATAATTACATACAATTGGCAGGCTAATGAATGTTATAAAAATATTTCTTAATTAGTTAATTTCCAATGGGCAAATAAACAAATAATTAATTAATATTTCAGTTAACTTTTAACAATTAAATCATGCCAAATGATACTCTGAACAATATTCATATGTAACCCATTATTCGAAATATAACACTAATCGATTCATGCAAACAACAAGAAGTAAAATGTTCGAATATACAAATCGCCCCCGAACACAAACGACTAGGATCTTTAGTGATTAATTAGCCAATAGCACATCTATATTTTAGCTACTTCCAGAAGAAATAATTTTATCTTCTAAAATGTTATTAAAGATATATCATATCTCATGCCCCTCAATATACGGGTTTAACTATCATTTTCATTTCAACTTATTTATTTATTATTATATTTTCATAATAGTACCCAAAGATTGTGGATTTTTCAATTCTCAACAATTTGAATTATATAGTAGATAATTAATCGTAAGTGCGCAAACACATCATATAGATAATTAAGTTGTCCACGAGTAGACACATAACTTAGACGACTTTAAAACTTTTAGCAAGCATACCTCTTGAACGACTAGGATCCGTTCGTAGCTACATTCATCCTTTTTATTATGTATCCACAAACTTCCCATTTAGTGCGATTTCCTTATAATGCAATCACAACTGATGGTTTATACGTTAATAATACACATGATATGACATATGGGATATAAGGTTTTCAAATTATTCATTTCATTAAAACGACAATACTAAGTGATTATAAAACTAATAATCAATTCAATGATTTAAATATAAAGGCAATAAGATTTTTCATCTGATGCATAGACTAAGGATAAGCTATATGGATATATTAGACTACATCAAGTTTATGAGTACTAATTAATAACCGTAAGAAGCTTTAACGTTGACAAAATGAATTGAATTCTAATTTTATCATGTGCCACATAAATATTTCTTTTCGGTTACAAAATAAATGCAATTAAATATTTAAATAAATATAAATTAAAGATCATGGATTATCAAACTTCCAATTATATATGCAATACACACGATAATATATATCTAAATATATAGTTGATTGTGATTCTAATAACTACAAATATCTACTACAAAATTCCCACTAATTATAAAATATAAATCATATATAAATAAATTTAGTTATGATGATGAATAAGTTAATGAAACGTCCAGACAAACTATATATAACACATAAATTACATATAAGCTATTCATATTCAAATGCAGAAACAGAAAGAATAATTTTCGTTTCTATATTCAATTGTTTCCAATCCTTAAAGTTATAACTATGTAATTAACGAGTTTGAGCATTAATCTGACTATCAAATAAATGAATTTATCACAATCCACAAATATATGTAAGATTAACCGATCGACCAAAATAGATTAAACAAGAACCTGATTTGTGTCACCATAAAATGATATACTATGAACAACAACTAACATATGCATATTATAATAAGGATTGATATTAATCAACTTTAGATTAAATCAGTACAAACCTTTGCACCATTATGATAGTTATCAATTAATAATATGCTAAAAAACAAATACCCACATTTTTATAAGCAAATAATCATTCTCTTAGATTGTTGTGACTATTTTATAAAATACAATTTTATATTAAACAATTAAGAACATGCAATATATAAAAATAAAATAATCATATAGGAATAGAAAATAGATTAAAGTAAAAGTAATAGAACGGCTGGCCTGAATAGGAGTCGTGCCACTAGACACTGTCCTAAGAGAATGATTGCCTCCCTTCGTGCAGGTATTGACAGCTGATCATACTCCCAAGATAAAACCCAATGGCCTCGCCGGTGCTTCGTCTATGAGCAACGATCATAGGAAACTAAAGAATGAACCTTATCTAAGTGCCCAAGGTTTATAGGAAAATATATAGAAGATGATGCATGCTTTGTGTAAGTGTGTATGTGTAGTGTTCTATGCTATGATGTATTCTAGCAAGTAAGCTAATGACCCTATTTATAGGGTGGTTGTGACCTTAAGGGTCAAAGAGAGTTTAATGGTGCATAATGGCCATTGAAGGGGACGTTACAAAATATAATTAAAATAATAAAAGCAATTTTAAGTTTTAAAACTTCTCAAATTTCCAACAAGATGTACTTGTAATTATACAAACAAGAAGAGTTTTTCGTAATTTAAAGTTGGTCGTAATTTGCCAAATAATAAAAATAAATAAATAAATAAGCCATTGCTACCCGTAAATCGCGTGACCAGTTTTGCGCTTTCAACATTTCCGCTTTTTTCAATTATTTATTTCATTTTATAATTATCGAAAGTCGAATATTCAGTTACCATCGGTATATATAAATATTACACACAGGCGATTAGGGTTTTCAATTCACGCCGCACCTTGCAGAAACGCAGCATTCTCTCCCTCGCAGCCGCAGCAGGAACCAGCCCCCGGAATCAACCATGGTCAGCCGTTTCTCTCTCTAACACTCTCTCTCTCTCTCTTCATCCGTATGTGTTAACCTTCTATTGATTTTCAATTTTGATTTAAGTACTGATGAAATGGAATTTTGCAGCCGTCGCACAAATCGTTCATGATAAAGAAGAAGCTGGCGAAGAAGCAGAGGCAGAACAGGCCGATCCCGTACTGGATCCGCATGCGCACCGACAACACCATCCGCTACAACGCCAAGCGCCGCCATTGGCGCCGCACCAAGCTCGGCTTCTAAGCCGCCATGTTTTCTATTTTCTCTCTCCTTTTTATTTCCCGCCGTATTTCGATTTGGATCATGTTTAGATTTTTGAATGAGATAATTGGTACTCTCTTTACAATTATGTAAGACTTCATTTTTGTTTTAATTAATTTTATGGAGTTCGTATACTCACGGAGTCGATTATTTTATCCACTTGCTTTATATTTTGTAGTATAGTTTTTGTGTTATTGTTTATTGCTGGTATTGTGTTGTTCGATTGTCTTGGTTCAATTAACTAATGGTTACATTTGATACGAGCGTCTCTTAATAATCAGATTTATTCGAAACGTAGTCGGTTGATTGTTTTGTTTTGGTAGTAAGATCTTTAATATCATTTTTATGGTTCGTGTTTTGTTGAATCGCTCGAGCTAAAGCTGTAACGATTGAACTGTGAGATGCTTAACAGTGGCATGAGTCCAGCTTAATCAGCACGCAAACTTTGTGTATAGGTGTGATTGATTATTCGGTTGATTAGCAATCCATCAATTGATTTTTGTGCTAATTGTGGCTTCTATTTATGAAACTTCGTGTATATGTACATATTTGTTGTGGCTTAAACTGCACGCCAACTTTGTGTATAGGTGTGATTATTCGGTTGATTAGCAATCAATCACACGATTTTGTGCTAGTTGTGGCTTCTATTTATGCAACCGCAAGCTAACTTTGTGTATAGGTATGAGTTGAGCTTGAACTGCACGCAGACTTCGTGTATTCGGTAGATTAGCAAATCCATCGCATGCTTTTTGTGCTATTTGTGGCTTGTATATACGAAATTGATTGTCATTAAACAATGCTTCAGGTGCGCTTGTAATTGCATTATAACGATTTAACTCACTGTTGGCTGTGTTTTTTGAGTGTGAGTGAGTCGAGTCATGTGGTTTGCAACTGGTTTCATATCATTGCTCTTGTGTCTTTATGCATCTAGGCAAAGGCACGATAGTGCCAAAAGTCGTTTTTTTTTTCTTTTTACCCTTGATTTTCGAGTGATGTATACTGTAATAATTGAATGATGTCTCATGGAGTTGTTTAAATGGCTATTTCGAAACGAGTCCATAACATTTACTTTAGTGTTGCATTTAATGTGTGTTGATGGTTATATGAACAATTTTTTCATATGCTATGTTCAGTATCTCACAAAGTAGAATTAACACGAAAACATATATACTATAATGTTTTAATCGAAACTAACGAATACCATAAAGTATAAGAACAAAACACAAACGAACGATAGTTGTTGGAACGAACAAAACGAAGCAAATTCAGACAGCATCCATCATTTGTTGCTGCCATCACCGAATAGGTAATTCAGAGAAGAGTTGCCCCCGGGTGCAGCATGGACCTTTGTCGATGGACGATCCTGTCGATAAATAAATAACACAACACCAAAAATAAAAACTTATAATAGGGGCACCCAAAATCGTAATGCAAAACCGGACTTCGACTAATAGAACTCGCGTATGATTTTTCAATGCATTGGTTATGAACTATCTAAATTGAACAATACAGCGATTATACCGTTATAAAGTTGCCACAGTTCTGGCCATCCACCCGGTAATAGTTGTTGGTGGTTGTTGTAATACTGCCAGCTGGAATCTGCTTACTGTTATCGGCCACCGTCGAAGTGGCTGAGTTCTTCAATGGCGGCTCGTTGATTGGATCCTTGTTTGGTGGTTGAGGGGTAGGAGCAGGGGTAGGGGTGGGGCCCTCGCCACTTCCGAAAAGGTACCCCAAAGAACTTTGGCCGCCACCGGCGCTCACTCCGCGACCCATTATCTCTCTGAGAGATAAAAATTTCACAAAAGAAAAGATATATATACTTCAATTCGCAGATTTTAAACAGATCGTTCAAAAATCGATTTTTTTTTGCACGTGGCTTCAGTATCAAGCAAATATATTCCATCGTTTTTATATGCGAATGGCCCAAAAATAGAAAGAAACTTACTAAATGATTTTGCAGATCGTACGTGTTGTGGAATAGATGAAAATACACATATTAGTTCCGTTTAATTTGCGCGCAATCACACATATACATCGTGGTGATGTGCGTAAAATGCTTATTGATTTATACAATACACGTTTATGATATAAAATAATCCGATTCGGTGTTGCTATGAAAAATGCGCAAGATCTCACTCACGATTAATGAGAAAAAACGCGAAACAGGGCCTTTGTAAATTCAAATATTCGAGGTTACGGAATGTAAGATGTGAATCGTAATACCTGAATAGAGAATTGCAGCGAAGAACGATCGAGAAAAAAATAGAATTACTTGCCGATTTAACCGATGAAAATGCTCTGCCCTTTTACGAGGGATGAAAATAAAGACGATGATTGAAGAGGAATTTAAAGAACGAAAGGAAAATGAACGTTGGAGGTTTCAAGTCTCAACTTTCAATAGGAGCGTCTTATTAATAAAGTAAATTAAATTAAATTAAATTTCTTGGGCCTTCAAAAAAAAAATTATAGGATTATATTTTTTATTAAATATTTGAATTAAATTAATAGCACTACAATATTTTGGGTAAATTACAAAAATCCCCCTGAACTTAGGTTGAATAACGAAAAACAACCCCACCTATAACAAAAACCCCCCTCTGATTAACTGTTGATCTAATTTTACAATATGTACAGTCTAATATCCTTCTGTTAAATATGTGAGAAATTGTGTAAAGTATATTTCCTGAAATAAAAGAAAAATCCGTGAAAAGTCACACTATAAGTGGTTGGTGTAAGACGGAAAAAAACCTCAGGGGTTTTTTCATAATTACGAATACGTGAGGGCATTGTTTCGTTATTTAGCCTAAGTTTAGGGTTTTTTTTGTAATTTACCGTTACATAGTTACATACAAAACTGTAAATTGTTTTAAAATAGTTTACTAAATCAGAACCATTCGAGACGGCGTCGTTTAGTTCACCTTCCATTTCATTTTCTTTTACCAGACTTGCCTTTAACCATTCTAGGGTTCCGCTTCCTCTTTCCACCGCAATCCACCGTCGACGCTTTCAATTCCGCCGCGATTCCGGCTGACCTAATCCCCCATTCTCTTCTTCGCTCCCCACACACTCGAGTATACAAGTTCATTGCGATATCCGTTCATGATTGTTGAAGAGTCCTTGGCAATCCGAATTAGTAAGTTAAATGTAATTTTTATTTAGTTAATGACTGAATGTATCTTATGATTACGAGCTTTCGTTCTTGAGTAATTTGTATGTTGATTAATGTTACTGCTATATTTTGAGTTTTCCGTGTTGTGTTATTCTCATGTAGGTGTATTTGGGGGTTTTATTGCATGTGCGTCGTGTTCACAGAAGCAGTAGAAGAATCATTTCAAGTCTACATAGCAACTGATCATTAACCGTAAAAGAATCGATTCGGAATGGATGTATCGGTGCAGCTGCTGGCTGATAGCCTGAAGATGGGTGCAAGTTTATCTGAAAATGTTTCTAAGGAGAATGCCAAGAAAAAATGTAAGAAGAAGAAGAACAAGAAGGCAGTAATTAAAGATGAAGTCGAGAGCATGGGTCGGATAGAAGCGGATGGGGAGTCAACGGAAAATCTTGTGGAAGGAATCCACAGCGTGGGCCATACTGAAATGGATACGGAACCAATTGAAAATATTGGTGTAGGAAATGATAGTGACGAAAGAAAAAAGAAGCGGAAAAGAAAGGAGAAGGGAAAGAATAAAGATGAAGTCGAAAGCGTCGACCAGATGAAAATGGAGACGGGGTCGATTGAAAATAGTGTTGAAGGAAACGGGATTGGCGAAAGAGAAAAGAAGGGGAGAAAGACCAAGAAGGCAAATATTAAAGATGAAATCGAAAGCGCGGATCAGACTGTAGTAGAAAATGTTGCAGAAGGAAATGTGAGTGGCAAAAGAAAAAAGAAGAAGAAGGCGATGATTAAAGATGAAATTCTAAGCGTGGAGCAGACTAAATTGGATACAGGGCCAATAGAAAGTACTGCTGAAGGAGAGAATGCTAATATTAATGATGAATTACGAAGCATGGAACATACTATAATGGATACAGGGACAATAGAAAAACTTGCTGAAGGAAATGTGATTGTCACTAAAAAGAAGAAGCGAAGAAAGACCAAGAAGCCGGAGATTATAGATGAAATCCAAGGTGTGGACGAAACTGAAATGGATACGGGGCATGTAGAAACTATTGTTGAAGGAGAGAAGGCAAAGATTAAAGATGAAAGCCGAAGCATGGACGAGGCTGAAATGGATACAGGGCCAACAGAAACACTTGCCGAAGGAAATGTGATTGCTAAAAGAAAAAAGAAGCGGAAAAGTACCAAGAAGGCAAATATTAAAGATGAAATCCGAAGCGAAACTAAAATGGATACAGGGCCTGTGGAAAGTACTGATGAAGGAGAGAATGCAACGATTAAAGATGAAGTCCAAAGCTTGGACGAGGCTGAAATGAATACAGTGCCAACAGAAACACTTGCCGAGGAAAATGTCATTGCTAAAAGAAAAAAGAAGCCGAAAAGTACCAAGAAGGCAAATATTAAAGATGAAATCCAAAGCGTGGACGAGACTAAAATGGATATGGGGCCTATGGCAAGTACTGATGAAGGAGAGAAGGCAACGATTAAAGATGAAATCCAAAGCATGGACGAGGCTAAGATGGATACAGGCCCAACAGAAACACTTGCCGAAGGAACTGTGATTGCTAAAAGAAAAAAGAAGCGAAAAAGTACCAAGAAGGCCAACATGAAAGATGAAATCCAAAACGTGGACCAGAATGAAATGGATACGGGGCCTATAGAAAGTATTGCAGAAGGAGAGAAGGCAACGATTAACGATGAAATCCAAAGCATGGACGAGGCTAAGATGGATGCAGGCCCAACAGAAACACTTGCCGAAGGAACTGTGATTGCTAAAAGAAAAAAGAAGCGAAAAAGTACCAAGAAGGCCAACATGAAAGATGAAATCCAAAACGTGGACCAGAATGAAATGGATACGGGGCCTATAGAAAGTATTGCAGAAGGAGAGAAGGCAACGATTAACGATGAAATCCAAAGCATGTACGAAGCTAAGATGGATACAGGCGTAACAGAAACACTTGCCGAAGGAAATGTCATTACTAAAAGAAAAAAGAAGCCGAAAAGTACCAAGAAGGCAAAGATTAAAGATGAAATCCAAAGCGTGGACGAGACTGAAATGGATACGGTGCCCGTAGAAAGTATTGTTGAAGGAGAGAAGGAAAAGATTAAAGATGAAATCCAAATCGTGGACGAGACTAAGATGGATACAGGCCCAACAGAAACACTTGTTGAAGAAAATGTGGTTGGCAAAAGGAAAAAAAAGCAGAAAAAAATCAAGAAAACGGAAATAGAAGATGCAGTCCAAAGCGTGGATCATATTCAAAGTAGCTCAGAGGCAAAAACTGAAAAGGAAGTTCAAAGCACGAGCCAGGCTGCACCTTTGGCTATGCCCATGGAGGTGGAAGGAGATTCTTTGCCTTGTGAAGTAAGCAACGGGCTTATTGTTAATGAGCGAAAAGGCTCTTCAGAGGGGACAAGTGTAGCGTCTGCTTGCGCTGCGGTGGACACAGATTCTGCTTCATTTGATGTAGAGGATGAAACGTGTTTGCGTCTCGAAACAGCACGAATTACTTCAGTTAGGAGAAAGCTTCTCGTTCTTGATTTAAATGGTCTCCTTGCAGATATATTAATGCCACCGCCAAAACACCGTAAAGGGGATGCACAGATATCCGGACGAGCAAGTGAGAGTTCTATGCTGATTTAAATATTAAAATTCTTTATATGCACTGCAGTTATTATTCTGAAAAAATTCCGTAGATTGATTTTGTTTGCTCTTTACTTTCCTGTTGTAGTTTTCACGAGACCCTACTGTCGCGATTTCCTGGAGTTCTGTTTTCAGAATTTTGATGTGGGCATATGGTCTTCGAGAGCCAAGTACTCCTCAAACTCTGGTTCTCTCCTCTTTTTTTTTTTTTTTTTTGCTGCTTATATTCCCTCTTTTATTTTACATGAGGAACGAACCTCCAGAGCATATAGTATTACTTCGTTTCCTGTGCCTTCTGCAAGTTCTTATGTTTCTTCCAAGATTTGTCTTGTCTTTCTAACCTTGGCATATTTTTTTTCCACAGGGGAATTGTTGATAAAGTGGTCAATTATTTACTCGAAGATCTACAGTCCAAGTTGAAATTTTGTTGGGTAAGCATCTAAAAGACTGTCTGAATACCTTTTTTTTATATTAAATGGTAGAACGAAAATCCCTTTAGGGTCTTTTTTAATCCGGTCTTCTTGTGACTATTTACATGCTCAACTAGTATTTTGGTGCATTTTCTGCATCTATCGAGGGAATATAGTCTCAAAACTGTGCGATCAACCCACAAATTAAATACAAATATTATTATACGGACGAGGTGTTAAGGAATACAAATTGTTAAATAACCCACAAATTAAATGCTATAACAAAGTTAGTCAAGTTTGCAGAAGTAACCAAAACTCCATTTGTTATTTTACATGTCATTTGGGCTATATAATAATGCATGTTATCATCTGAAGGTGGTTAGTTTGAGGTTATTCATTGCACATGGTTGCTAAATATATCCAGCTTCTGTAGTTTGTTTATGTTTTCTTCTTGGTTAGTCGACTCGATTTAATCCTGAAAGTCGGATCCAGCACTTTATGATAATTCAAATTTATGTAATTGCAGGATATGTCTCGATGTACTAAAACAGGGCTCAAAACTCTCGACAACAAGCATAAGCCCTTAGTGTGCAAGGAGCTAAGGAGAATTTGGGAACTAGACAATCCTTTTTTGCGTTGGAAGAGTGGAGATTATAATGAATCAAACACGTTGTTATTGGATGATTCTCCTTACAAGGCATTACGCAATCCCGTAAGTTTTTATCCCGACGATTTGCATCAGCTTATCAAAAAAATTTAACCCCCCGTTTTGTGTTCTAATTGTGCTTTTTCCTTTTTCTTTGTTGCCTTGTTTTAGATGCACACAGCAATATTTCCCCGTCCGTACAGCCATGAGGATAGAAATGACAATTCACTAGGTGAAACTCTTATCCCCGTCCATCATATTAAATTAATCTTGAAGTGGCATTTACGCAATTTAATCGTGATTCACCTTTTGCAATGAATTTCCAAGAACTTCTTCCCAATTTATTGATGCCTTCACATTGTTTAACGATGTCGTTGTCCACCTTGATCTTTTCTTGGCTGATAAAGAAGCTGATTACTCGTATAACAAAAATAAATATTTTATTGCAGGTCCTGAAGGCGATCTTCGAGTTTATCTGAAAGGGTTGCTAAAATATGACGATGTACCGGAATATGTTGAGCAACACCCATTCGGTCAAAGACCAATAGACGAACAACACGTGTCTTGGACATTCTACAGACAGGTAGTTAACAGAGTCTCCAAATGATTGGCAGATAATATTCAATGTATTCTATTTTCCCTTTTCGTTTGGGAAATGTTAAAACAAATGATAACAACCAGGCACGGTAGAACGCTTACCATCTTCGAAAATAGCAAATGTATTCTTTACGAGTCCTATAACACAGTTGTAGGAATTAGAATTTTTTTGGAGCATGAATTCTGTCGTTTATTATTTTTGTATGAACGACTTGAATTCATTCCCCATTATCGAGTCAAGAAACATTCGTCGTATCGAATGAGATATTCTTTGTTATTACGGGGTTTCTCGTCAAGGTACAGTTGTAATTGCAGCTTTTGCTGGGACTTGTAATGTGATGTTGTTGACAGATTTTAAGAATTTTTTTTTCTTTCCTTAGTTGATTTTCGAGACTTGATTAGAGATTTCTCCGAAATTTTGTAATATTTTAGCTTTTGGAATTGAATATCAATTTTATCTGCCAATTTTGGACCGATATTTTTTCGTCGATAATCAATTTTTAACCAATTCATTAAAGTTGGGCCGGGCCGGGCCGAGCCGATGATTTGTACTAGACTTAAGTATAGATGGATCGATTGGCAGTTGTTATCTTGAAATATATATCGAGCGATATCACTCGACGAATCTACCGTTTAGAAACTAAATTATATTGTAAATTATAATTAAAAAAATGTGTTACTTTTTTATTTATTAAATTATAAGATTGAGTATTATAGTTGTTATTTTCTGCAATGTAGTATTGTTGTAAGGTTAAATATTAGTACTTTTTTTTTTTTAGCAAAATGCATAATTTTCTTCCAATAAATAAATAAATTGGGTGAACCTATCTAATTTGGCAATTGACAATGATTGAGATTCTCTTATCAACATAGAATCGGCAACCAATATAATTTGGACAAGATACAAGAGTTGGGACACTTATGAATAAAAATAAATTAAAATCTTTTCTATAACCAAAGAATTTGCAGCAGACCATATATAAGTGTACTGAATAAACTTTTACGTGCAACATAAAAAATAATACATATTTCTTTTCTTACAACGAAACAATTCGCAGCCGACTTTCATGTGCAATAGCTTGTAAAACAGTCTGAGATGTACACTACATTAGACATATGATATAATTAGTGGTACCGGAGCATCTTCCGTAGTGGTTTTGACGAGCAGTTGTGGAACTAATATAGGGCTAGGGGGCCACGACACCTCTAACATTTCTCATATCCTTATTTTTTTATATATAAAAATTAAAAAAAATTGTGTATAATAGCATTATTATTCCCCCTCCCCCATTTTTTTCTTAATGCATTCAACATTCACAAACTTAAAATTCTGGCTCTGGTAAAGAGCGAAATATCGTATATTCAAATCCCTTTGTGCGTATGTTTGAAGGCCATGTTTTAACTTACAAGACCGTTTGCGTATTCAAAAAACTTTAATCTAAATGGCCAACTAACGCATCTGATGAAAATTATCGGGTTATATCTAATTGTATATACAACATATATTTTACACATTTATATGTGTGTGATTGTGTGGAAATTTATGTTGATTTCCTATATGATGAATTTCACATTATATAGCATTTACAAGAAGTGTTTGTATATATATCTCATGATTCAAAATTCAGAAATTAATATACACCAAGTGAAATAAAAATAAGTGGAATATAAAAATTAGTATACTGATTGCAGTGCCAGCTGGCTACGATTCATAAAAACCAACCATTTGTTGTCATTTTTAAATTAATTAATATTAGATTTAAAAACCACCATGAATTTTTTTTTAAAATGAACTACAATAAAACAACAAATTTCAATTTATAAACTATGAACTAAGTTCAATTTTGTAGCATGGTGGGTAAGATTTTCTTTAGGTGTAGGGGATCTGCGTAAAGCCAATTAGGTTTTAATCCAACTATTTAATTTTATTTTGTGGATATTTCATCTAATTATATATATAATATAATATTGAGATGCTATTTTTTTTGTTTTATTTTTTGCAGATTCTTTAATTAATTATTATTTTATTTAATGATTTCTCAGATCCCTATGGATCAAAAGTTACAAGAAACAATTGGTGGAGGGGTTCGTTACACCAACTTGGCATGTGCACATAAAATTAAAATGATCTGGCTAACTTTATTAATTGAAATTATTGTTTTTTTAATAAATTGTTATATAAAAAAAATTAAATATAAAATCGGATTGCAAATAATGCACTTATTTAAATAATAAAATAAGATGGCTTAACCCTCAAACTTAGATCCATGAATTTTATTTTATTTTCAAGCTTCATCACAATGCCATGTGACCTAAGGTGGAATTGACTTCAAAACTTAACTAACATTCTTAAAACTATTCCCTTTTTCTATGGCCACTCGTTCTTTAACTATTATCGTTCGAAAATGCTCACGAGTCTCGTCTGATTGGTAATATTAGTCATAATTAATTAAATATTATTTGATATTTAAATTAATTCAATGTCTTTTCAGGTCGATCCATAAATCGTGGAAAAATAAAATTTTAATCTTGCTCTATCGATGAATCGTGTGCTAGCTAGGTGTCCCCTGGTCCAATTATAAATTTGATTTTTTTATAAAGTTGCATGATTTAATTTGGGTTGATTTTATCTCGACAAAGTCCAATTAAAATGACCCTTCTTGCTTAGATTAGATATGAGAAAGACCTGCGAGTAAGCAACTACATGTGATAGATGAATTCGCACCTACTTTTTTTATCGACCGAATCGGAATTTTGTTTGAACCCATGTCGAAAGAGAAGTTATTGAAGACGAACTTTAGGCATTCAAATCTCAGTTGCAAAGAGAATTTTCAAAGATTGGGTTGTGAGGTTAGGGTTGTGGAGGATGAATCGAAGTACGTACTCAATGCTTGTTGTTTTAGCTTAATTAGCGTGTTAGCCACTGCTTCATTTCGTATCGTGATAAAATGAGTTTTTTTTCTCTAACTTAACCTACTTGACTCAGCGGTTAGAGCATCGTTTCCCCACGACGAGATCAATCATTGGTTCAAATCCAATAGTACGTAAAACTGATCGAAATCCCCCTACTTTTGCCAGCACACGCACACCTCCTTTTTTTTTTCTTTTGAAATTCAAAAAAAGTTAATTAATCAAACATGAGATGACGGGCCATTTTTTTTTTTAGAATATTTCGGTTTTTTTTTTTGTGAAATGGGGTCATTTTGTAATTATTTACAAAAATACAATAAAGCGTCGTTTAAAACGACGCGTTTTAAGGGCCGTTGGATTGAGCTGAGATTGACGGCCAGATCTCCTATCTTGTCCTCCTAATCTGACGGCCAGAGATTAATCTGGGCAATGGACGGCTGTTAAAAGGCGTCATTCAAAACGACGCCCTTTGACCCGCCACACTGGATTACAGCGTCATTTAATATGACGCCTTTTACCAGCCGTTGGATTGTGTTTATATCAACGGCTGGATTTGATCTAAGGTTTGTTAAATTTACTTAATTCTTTCTTATTGTTAAATTGGAATGGTTAATTGAATTTTAATTTTAAATTAATTATATATTGTATTTTAAAAATTTTCCTTCATTTATTTATGCAATTTATTTTATAATTCACTATAAAATAATACGAATTTGGACATTTTTTTTCATACAATTTCCGATTTACGATTTCCGATTTTTCCGATTATTTTTGCCACGCAATTGGAATACATAGTAAATTATTGGAATTCCGATTTCCGATCCGATTGTATTTCGGAAATAATCAT